TTGATCAGGGTATCTGACGTTTCCAGGTAAAATGTGTTGGCATTGTGCATTTTGGTTAAAGGGGGAAATATGAGCTGTAATAAAAGGGAGAATTCCCTAGATGACAAGGGCCAGAGTACTCTTTGGTCAGAGAACCCCAGCAGAGATTTAATATCACAAAAGGTTCAGCAAAGCGTAGCCTCGAAATATAGGCTGCTAGACCGTCAAATATCCCCTTCTCAGCTGCTTCCAAAGTTCCTCACTTCCTTTTGCGTGGAAAGAGACCACATGTTTGGTGAGTTGAAAGTGGTTTACTTACAAACTCTTTGAAGGTCAGGTTCATGTGCTTTTCCATACAGCAGCGAGAAAACACAGGCAGTGTAATTTAGGTTCCCAAGTGGTCAATGTATCTAAATTATTTGTATAGAAAGACAAAGATGGCTTGCTTATAAACCACACAGTCTATTTTATTTTATTTTATAATTTTATTGAATGATTTTATGTTACAAAAAACAATACAACCATACTACCACTAAATATAATTAAGAAATAAAAATTACGTACATCAATATTTAATTTGTTATTTGTTATTTACTGTCTTATTTCCTCCCAAACATTCCATACAAAAACACACATATGTACAGATGCCCACACACCCACCCACCCACACACCCACCCACAAAAAATGATAATAATGAAAGTAAATATTTTCCCCCTTTTATCTTACAAAACCTTTTCTTCAACTTTGACTTCCTGTCAAGTCCCTTTGCATATGTTTTGTCTTACAATTGAACGTACACAAAACAATAAACCTTTCTATATAATTTTTCCAATACATTCTGAAAACATAATAAATCCTTAATTGTTGTCCACCTCCTTTTAGTTCCTTTGTCACTCGAATGCTAGCACGGAGCCAAAACTATTATTGTATTTTTGAACATATCTTCTATAACCATCCCATTTTCCCGCAAATTTTTGCTTTGAGTTTCCTCTGAGTTTGCTAGTCAATTGAGCCATCTCCACCAATTCCTGTAATTTGATTTGCCAATCTGCTATTTTTGGAGCCTCGTGATCTTTCCATCCCTTGGCCACAAGTATTCTAGCTGCTGCGGTTGCATACAAGAATATCTCTCTCAGATTTTTTGGGATCTCTTTATCTAAAATACTTAATAGAAATGCCTCCGGTTTTTTAGTAAAAATTATCCCCATCATCTTTTTTAATTCATCGTATATTTCCCCCCCAAAAAAATCCTTACGGGGTCTTCGCTGCGCGATCACATTCACCCGGTGCTATACCAGCTGCACTGGCTCCCGGTGGAGTACAGGATCAGGTTTAAGGTGCTGGTTTTGACCTTTAAAGCCCTATACAGCCTAGGACCCTCGTACCTACAGGACCGCCTCTCCTGGTATGTCCCACAGAGAAACTTATGGTCTTCAAATAAAAACATCTTGAAGGTCCCAGGCCACAGAGAGGTTAGGCTGGCCTCAACTAGAGCCAGGGCTTTTTCGGCTGTGGCTCCGATCTGGTGGAACGCTCTGTCCCAAGAGACTAGGGCCCTGCGGGACTTGACATATTTCCGCAGGGCCTGCAAGACAGAGCTGTTCCACAAGGCCTTTGGCCAAGGCACAATCTGACCCCCTCCTTCAGTAATCCTCATAGAACTCTAGCCCAATGGTTGCCAGTGGCTTGAATTAATTAATTTTATAATGAATGATTTTAGAGTGTCGTTTGTGCTGTACTTTTGCACTGTTTTATTGTTGTTAGCCGCCCTGAGCCCGGCTTCGGCTGGGGAGGGCGGGATATAAATAAAATTTATTATTATTATTATTATTATTATTAATCTTAAACCACACAGTCTAGGCTTGGAGCGCCCAGCTTAGACTTCTATATTGTTGGATTCGCAGGGTGGAATGGAAGAACGAAGGGGGAGGGCTAAGTGAAGACCCAGGTAAGTCCTGGCTGCACCTCTCGTTGACCAGGCAGCAATGATTTATCTTTTCTGCCATGCAGGTCTCCAGCCAGACGATGGACATGAATGTTCTGATGGCTTCTCAAATCCTCATGGAGCAGGTGGCCGCGGAAGGACACAACTTTCTGCTGCACCTCCTGTACCAGTTCCTGCTCTTTGACTTCCGGATCTGGAGCAACAGCGACTTTGCTGTCCGATTGGGTGAGCTTAGACCAGCCCCTGCAGCCCCAGGGACGGACAGGTGGCGTGGTTGAAGCTGTGCACCTGAACTCGAGTGCTCCTGCTGGTTCGGGGCGTTGTCGCCCCAACCCAGGAGAAGGTTGCTTGTGTGGCTGTCTTACGACAGGCTGCAGTCCAGTGGTAGAGCGCTTGATTCTCGTGCAGAAGGTGCCTGGTTCAATGCCTTGCCATGAAATTCTGGTGAAGCACTACCAGCCTGCGTAGAAAATATTGATCTTGATGCACCAATGATCTGACTTGGTATACAGCAGCTTCCTATAGGGAACTGGTTCTCTTCATTGTAGTATAGGATAGCATCAAGATAAATTATTATAATAATAATTTATTATTTATACCCCGCCCATCTGGCTGGGTTTCCCCAGCCACTCTGGGTGGCTTCCAACAAAATATTAAAATACAATAGTCTGTTAAACATTAAAAGCTTCCCTAAACAGGGCTGCCTTCAAATGTCTTCTAAAAGTCAGATAGTTGTTTATTTCTTTGACATCTGATGGGAGGGCGTTCCACAGGGTGGGGGCCACCACCAAGAAGGCCCTCTGCGTGGTTCCCTGTAACTTGGCTTCTCGCAGGGAGGGAACCGCCAGAAGGCCCTCGGCGCTGGACCTCAGTGTCTGAGCAGAACAATGGGGGTGGAGATGCTCCTTCAGGTATACTGGACTGAGGCCACTTAGGGCTTTAAAGGTCAGCAACTCTACAATTCTATTATTCTATCTGCTTTGGCATGCGGGAGGTCCCCAGTTCAATCCCTGACATTCCCAGGTAGAGCTGAAAGGCGGAGTCCCTGCCTGCAGCCCCAGAGAATCTCAGCTGAAGTTCAGTGTAGACAAGCCTGAATTAGTTGGACCAGTAATCTGACCTGGCATAGGCAGCTTCCGATGTTCTTGTGGCGTGATTGAAAGTGGCTTGGCACCTGTAATGCCAGGAAACATTTGGACAGGTGTTCCACACGCAAGGCGCTGGAAAACCTGCCAGCTTTGATCCAAGATTAGGCAGCCTGTTTCTCACCTGTGCTGGGCTCTCCTTCCTCAGATGACGCTGTGGTCTAAACCACTAAGTGTTTTGGGCTTGCCGATCAGAAGGTCGGCGGTTCGAATCCCCGCGACAGAGTGAGCTCCTGTTGCTCGGTCCCTGCTCCTGCCAACCTAGCAGTTCGAAAGCACGCCAGTGCAAGTAGATAAATAGGTACCACTGCGACGGAAAAGTAAATGGCGTTTCCGTGCGCTCTGGTTTCCATCACGGTGTCCCATTGCGCCAGAAGCGATTTAGTCCTGCTGGCCACATGTCCTGGACAAATGCCGGCTCCCTTGGCCTGAAAGTGAGATGAGCACCACTACCCCATAGCCACCTTTGACTGGACTTAACCGTCCAGGGGTCCTTTACCTTTACCTTTCTTTTTACCTTCGCTTTCCACCTCCGTGCTTCATAGGTCACATCCAGTACCTGTCGAACGTAATCAAGGACCACAAGCAGAGAATCCGTAGGAAATACGGTGTGCAGTACATCCTAGACTCCATCAGGACGTATTACGGGTGAGTTTGGAGCGTCTTCTTATATTGTGAGGACAGAGGAAGGAAATACTGTTTGGGGAGCATCCTTGCTGCTGTCATTGCGTACATAAACAGTATGTACGCAAGAGTTAACTTCACTCACTTGGTGTGATTTATTGTTGACCTGCTCTTGTCACCCCCTTATATTGCCGAAAACTTTGTGGAATGCAATAAAATGCAAGGCTATGTTGGAGAAAGTTGGCCATGTTGGGTAACTCAGTGGAAATAGCTTTGTTGTTGTTTAGTCGTGTCCGACTCTTCGTGACCCCCTGGACCAGAGCACGCCAGGCACTCCTGTCTTCCACTGCCTCCCGCAGTTTGGTCAAACTCATGCTGGTAGCTTCCAGAACACTGTCCAACCATCTCGTCCTCTGTTGTCCCCTTCTCCTTGGGCCCTCCATCTTTCCCAACATCAGGGTCTTTTCCAGGGAGTCTTCTTTTCTCAGGAGGTGGCCAAAGTCTTGGAGCCTCAGCTTCAGGATCTGTCCTTCCAGTGAGCCCTCAGGGCTGGTTTCCTTCAGAATGGAGAGGTTTGATCTTCTTGCAGTCCATGGGACTCTCAGGAGTCTCCTCCAGCACCAGAATTCAAAAGCATCCATTCTTCGGCAATCAGCCTTCTTTATGGTCCAGCTCTCACTTCCATACACAACCTTTAAGTGTCTGCAGAGTCTCCTCTTGCTCTTCTCCAATATTTTTCTGCATTGATACCTATTGCTGGACCATGTGGACCTCCTGGCTTGACCCAGCAAAGCAAGCCCCTCTAGGTGACCCTCCCTTGCTCTCTCTCCCCAGGACTTACAAGGAGAAGCCCATCGCAACTGATGACATCAAGACGGTGCAGACGTCCCTCTTCAGCCTGATCAAGGAGTTCTTCTGCAGGAACTTCTCCACCGAAGAGATGCAAAGCACCTTGAACTACCTTGCTGCTGTGAATGATGAGCACCAGGTATGGAGGAGGGGCAGGGAAAGCCAGCAATGACCTGTTAAGGAAAGGGAACCTCCCTAGGCTAGAGTATTGGAATAGGATAGGGTTTCTCACACTGTGATCTACAAACCACCAATGGTCCGCAAGGTGCATCCGCGTGGTCTGAGGTGTGTATGGAAAATTCTGAAGAGGGGAGATGGCACATACATTTTATTATTTTCAATCGGCTTTCGGTTGCTTCTTTTATGTCCTATATTGTATTTCATGATTCTCAATTGCATTTCGATTGCTTCTTTTATGTCCTATATTGTTTTTCAATTTGAGTCCTGTGGAACAGGAGCCTAGATAGCCCAGCTGGTTAGAGCATGGCGGTGATAGCGCCACGGTTGCAGGTTTGATCCCTGTATGGGACAGCTGCATTGAAGGGGGTTGGACTAGATGATCCTCAGGGTCCCAACCCAACAATTCTATGATCTCAAATTGTAGTCCAATGTACAAGAAAATGAGGAAGCAATAACGATGCAAATTAAAACCGCGCAGCATCTAGCACAGCACTTTGCGACTGCTGCAGCAGGCAGGGGGTGGAAATCATTTAAGTGGTCAGCCAAGACCCTCAGCAACTGGGGTGGGGGAAAAATTTGGGAACCCCTAGAATAGAAGATTTCAGGCCTCCAGTGCCAGTAGCATCAGCACCAGATTTCTTGGATCCCTGTCCAGCTGTGCCTTCAATAGTGTGTACTAAAGGACAGAAGATTATAGGACGATGCGGCTGAGACTTCCTGCGTGTGCACAAATTTTAGTTCCCTTTGTCTCCTAACTGGGGGCCACATTTCTGGATCTGCCATGTCGGCCATTCTTTCTCTTCCGTGTATTGGGTGGGGGGGCTTTCTGTCGGTCCTTAAGACAAGGTTTTGGAGTCTGCGGCCCTCCAGGTGATTCTGGGTTGCGATTCCCATCACCCCATACCATCTAGGGGGGGGCGCCCACCTGGGAACGGCTGACCTGGTGAACTTCTATATTAACACGATGGACATGGATGTATCACTAGTCTAAACCACTGAGCCTCTTGGGCTTGCCGATCAGAAGGTCGGTGGTTCGAATCCCCGCGACGGGATGAGCTCCCGTTGCTCTGTCCCAGCTCCTGCCAACCTAGCAGTTTGAAAGCACACCAGTGCAAGTAGATAAATAGGTACCACTGCGGCGGGAAGGCAGATGGCGTTTCTGTGCGCTCTGGTTTCCGTCACAGTGTCCCGTTGCACCAGAAGCGGTTTAGCCTTGCTGGCCACATGACCCGGAAAGCTGTCTGCGGACAAATGCCGGCTCCCTCGACCTGAAAGCGAGATGAGCGCTGCAACCCCATAGTCGCCTTTGACTGGACTAAACCATCCAGGGGTCCTTTATCTTTTTACCTTTTACCTACATGGATATATCTAGAGACTCGGACAACAGAGGGCAGCTCTGACACCCACATTGCTTTCCTCGAGTTCTTGTGATTTCGTGCACAACCCTGCCTTCTCGCTGTTTTCCTCGACGCCTTTCTGTATGTTGTAAGCCTCTTACCATTCTTCTGCTTTTGTCCCGCAGGTCTGCGGAGTGCTGGAGGTGATCCACAGCCTTCTGAAAAGCTCCCCATCCCAGGAGCAGATTTACACGTTCCTCTTTGAGCCGGGGAACGTGGAGATCTTCTTCTCACTGCTCGTCCAGCGGAAGTTCTCAGACGAAGTGCGCGAGAGGATCTTCAAGGTGAGAGAGCTGTTGGGGGGGGGCTTCCTGGGGCTCGCGTGCTCCGGGTCTCTCGCCGGACTCTGATGGGGTTGGGGTTTCAGGTCCAGATGGGCCCAACCCCGCAGACTGTCGTGGGCAGAAATTCCAAGGCCTAGTTCACAGCAGGAGTTTGTCTGGTGTGGTTTGTGCGTGAGATGCACAAACCCTGAGGGCAAGGGGAACAGCCATTTCTGGAGACCCGAATCTCTTCCCCGTGCAATTTCACTATGAAATAGCGACAGAGTTTCCCTGTTGCCTTCGTTATGTACCTCTAGGCACCAGGCGAAAACAGTCAGATGCGCAGCTAATTATTATTATTATTATTATTATTATTAAATGCTTATTGGATGGATTTCCCCCCTAAATTGATTTTTGATTTTATTGTTATTCACGTTTTATACCATATTTATGCTGGTTTTTTGTAGCATCAATTAAGTGTTTTAAATTTGTTGTTAGCTGCCCTGAGCCCGGTTTTCTGAGCCGGGAAGGGCGGGGTATAAATAAAAATTATTATTATTATTATTATTAAAGCCAGGCCTTGGGCTGATTGGTAACCTATAACCTTTTAAATGTGCTTGTAAGGGGTGGTGTTTTTGTGGGAATGTTGTGGATAGTAGGAGAGGATATATTGATTAAATATTATCCTTTCTCACTCAAGCTAGTGAGCTGGTAGCAGAGCACGTTCCCTTGCACATTGCATTGTTGATGGATTCGTTAGAATCGTATAAATTGAGTAATCCGGCTTGTCCAGAATGGATTGTTCCTCTTAAAAACAACAATGACATGACGGTCTTCTTTTGAAAGTAATGATAAAGTTTGCAGTAGACCCTCTATTTACGACCGCCTCTACTTGGGCCCGATCCAAGTTGCAACCGCGGGAAACCCGGAAGTAAATACAGTGGTACCTTGGGTTACAGACACTTAAGGTTACATATGCTTCAGGTTACAGACTCCACTAACCCAGCAATATTACCTCATGTTAAGAACTTTGCTTCAGGATGAGAACAGAAATCACGTGGTGGCAGCAGCAGGAGGCCCCATTAGCTAAAGTGGTACCTCAGGTTAAGAACAGTTTCAGGTTAAGAATGGAGCTCCGGAATGAATTAAGTTCTTAACCTGAGGTACCACTGTACCAGGTTTGCCACGATTCATGCACACGCAGAGTCGGCTTTTGCCGTTTGCACATGCGCAGAAGCGGCTTCTGCCATCTACACATGCGCAGAAACACACCGCCACCGAATGCACCTGCTCACAATGGCACTTCTACTAGCGACCCAAATCGACTTACCGACGGACGGACCTCCGGAACTGATTATGTCCGAAAGTAGAGGTTTCACTGTACTTGCATTCAGTACACAGTAGTGTCCCGGAGGCAGGCTGTATTTACAGTTGTAGAGAAAAAGAAGTCTGAGCTACGTATTCTACCTTGCGGCTTCCATCCTCTTGTAAGGATGAGCCACATGCTGATGGCTAAGAGCCCAGGGAAGAGTCCAAAAGGAAAAATGGGGAAAGGCAATAATAATAATAATAATAATAATAATAATTTATTATTTATACCCCTCCCATCTGGCTGGGTTTCCCCAGCCACTCTGGGCAGCTTCCAACAGAACACTAAAATACAATAACCTATTAACCATTAAAAGCTTCCCTAAACAGGGCTGCCTTCAGATGTCTTCTAAAAGTCTGGTAGTTGTTTAGTTCTTTGACATCTGGTGGGAGGGCGTTCCACTGGGTGGGTGCCACCACCGAGACGGCCCTCTGCCTGGTTCCCTGTAACCTCACTTCTCTCAGGGAGGGAACCGCCAGAAGGCCCTCGGCGCTGGACCTCAGTGTCTGGGCAGAACGATGGCGGTGGAAAAGAGGAAGGTGGCTGCGTGGCTAGCCCTTTTATCGGGTCAGCTAGCGTCCAGCCCATCTACCTGGCCACACACAGGGGGAGTAGGCTGCAGAGCAGGTAAGACAGGAAGTCCTCTCTGTCTGGAGCAACATTCCCCTGTGTGTCCACTCTAGGAAAACAGGAAATGTTGTATTTGACTGCCTCCATAATGATACATCCCACAGTTACGGGGGGGGTGGGTCCCATTCTCACGGGATGCTAGCTTTCTCGTCCTTGTTCCACACAGATCCTGTACAAAATGCTGAAGTACGAGAAGATGAACGAACGGAGCAAGCAGCGTCTGAAGCTGAAGGACGTTGGCTTCCTGGGCTTCATCTCGTACCTGAACGACATCCCGGTTTCCATGCTGATCCGCTACCTTTGGGAACAAGTGATTGGGCCAGGTAAGGCCCAAGGAGGGATGCGGGTGGCGCTGTGGGTTAACCCACAGAGCCTAGGACTTGCTGATCAGAAGGTCGGTGGTTCGAATCCCTGCGACGGGGTGAGCTCCCATTGCTCGGTCCCAGCTCCTGCCAACCTAGCAGTTCGAAAGCACGTCAAAGTGCAAGTAGATAAATAGGTACCGCTCCGGCGGGAAGGTAAACGGTGTTTCCGTGCGCTGCTCTGGTTTGCCAGAAGCGGCTTAGTCATACTGGCCACATGACCCGGAAGCTGCACGCTGGCTCCCTTGGCCAATAAAGTGAGATGAGCACCGCAACCCCAGAGTCGGTCACGACTGGACCTAATGGTCAGGGGTCCCTTTACCTTTAAGGAAGGCGGTTCAGAAACTTCTCCTGGTGCAAAATTCAACGGCCAGGTTGCTCACCGTTTAAGGATATTGCACCAATCCCGGTCTGACCGTACTGGCTGCCAATTAGTTTCCAAGCCATGCTGGTTTTGACGTATAAAGCCTTAAACAGCTCAGGACCTGACAGCTAAAGATATGCAATGAAGGCGCCAGGCAAGACTCCCTGGGGAGAGCAGCCCACAAGCAGGAAGCCACCACAGAAAAGGCCCTGTTCTCAGGTTGCTGCCCTTCGGACCTCTCGTGGAAAAAACACATCGTTTGAGAGCCACTGCCCTAGATAATCCCAGTGTCCATCCCCCCCAAGGGGGCAGTCCTTCCCACTTTGGGAACCCTTGAGACTAGGACCCGGGAGAGACCAGGGTTCGAATCCCCACTTGGCCATGAGGCTCCCTGCGTGATCTAGGGCCCATTGCTCACTTTCGGTCTCACCTACCTCACAGGGTTGTTGTGAGGATAAAATGGGGGGGGGGGAGAAACCATTGAGCACCCTGCTGTTTCCTTTTGCTCCAACCAAGACTGTGTTCTGCTGCCTTGCTTTCTCCCCAGACACCCCGAACTACAAGGATTTGTTGGCCGTGATCTACCTCTCGCACCGGGCAGAGCTGACCGTCAGGCTGGACATCTGCAGAGAGGTGAGGGGTGGAGCCAGGATCTTACCAGCTCCCGAGATGCTTCATCTGGGCAGGGCGAAACAGCCCGGTGCACACGAAAAAGCATGTAAAGGAGCCTTGCGCAGAGTCAGGCCATTGGGCCTTTGGAGCCAGTGGACTCTGCTCTGACTGGCAGCTGCTGTGCAGGGTCTTAGGCAAAGAACTGCCAGTGGGAGATGCCAACTTGTAGAGTTGGCAGGGACCCCAAGGGGACATCCAGCTCTCTCCCACCGTTTCCAGGTTTGAATTGAGCTGTTTCTTTCCCGGCACTGCACATTAGTGCGTGAGTGCGCGCCGGGAGGACGGGACAACACC